GGGGATTTAGCTCAGTGGTTCTGCTGCCTGCCTTGCAAGCGAAAGGTCCCAAGTTCGATCCCCATTACCAAAAAAATGTGATGGCTGGGAGTGGTAGCACACACCTGTAAACTCAGCACTTGAGAGACTGAGGCAGGAGCATCACTGAGAGTTCAAGGCCAGCCTGGACTACATAATAAATTCTAGGCCAGCCTGCACTACATAGTGAGACCTTGTCTCAGAAAAACAAACAAATAAAAAAAGTATGTGATGCGCTCAAGGTATATTTGAGTTTTCATAATGGTCTAGGAGTGTAGCTAGCTTAGTACTAAAGCACTTGCCTAGCATGCTTGAGGCCCTGGGTTCTATCCCCAGCACCAGAAAAGAAAAACAAATATACAAACAAAACCAAAAAAACTTTCATAAACAAGGCCAGGCGTGATGGCACATGCCTGCCTGGAATCCCAGCACTTGGGAGGCTGAGGCAGGAAGATCACTGTAAGTGCAAGGCCAGCCTAGGTAGACTACATAGTGAGTTCAAGGCTGGTCTGAACTGCCTAGTGAGATTGCCTACCCTTTCTCAAAAAAGTAAAACACTAAAAAACAAAAAAGTTTCATAAACAATATTGAAAAAAATTTCTCAGATCTGCAGGTGTAGTTCAGTAGCTCAGTACCTGTCTAGCACGTTCAAATCCCTGGGTTCAATCCCTAGCATCACACACACAAATCTCCTTAACTACTTTGCTGATATATATAAATTAGCTTCATCTAGAAGCAGATTCTATGATCAATTCATTTTACTGAATTCAAGTAGATAAACATAGAGTACTAAATGGGTTAATTTTTAGAAAACTATAAAGTGTGAAATGGTATACAAATATGCTATTATTTTAGGGTTTTGTTTTTGTTTTGAGACAGGGTCTCACTATGTAGTTCAGGCTGCTCTTGAATTTGCAGGGATCCTTTTACCTCAGCCTCCTAAGTACCAAGATTACAGGTATGCACTGCCATGCCAGGCTTTTTTTTTTTTCTTTTTGTGGTAGGGATTGAGTCCAGGCCGTGTACATGCTAGGCAAGCACTTTACCACTGAGCTGCATTTCCAGACCTTTGTTGTTGTTGTTGTTGTTGTTGTTGAGACAGGGTCTCACTGTGTAGTTCTGGTTGGCTTTGGACTCACTATGTAGCCCAGGCTGGCCTCAAACATGCCTGGGTTCCAGGCCTTTTTGATTTAATTTTATTTTGAGCTAGGGAGATAGGGCTTTGCTAAATTACCCAGGCTGCCTTGGCCTCAAACTTGCAATCCTCCTGGATCAGCTTCCCATAGCTAGAATTACAGGGGTGCACCAGTGTGCTGGGTACACTATATCTTGAGTTTGGTGAACAGGATTCACAGTGATCCCAATAAAGTTATCCTGAATATTGTAGCCCATGGTACCAACCTCAAGTAAGTGGATACAGATATACTCCTGAAATAGTTCTTCCTAGGGACTAAAAATTTACTGTTTTTTTTAATGCTTATGTTGTAATAAACCTTTATTAATAAAAATAAGCACAGGCATAAATTTGTCCTGAGGGCTACAGTATGTAGGCTGTTACAGACAAAACTAATATGTAGGAAGCAATCAGAGAGCAATCCATGATATATAATTAGCTACATTTCATTTACTTTGTCAGTGATAAGGTACTACTGTGACAGTCACTGTACCATGACTTACAAATATTAGTCCACTTTGTGCTCATAATAACTCAGTAGCTCTTATTATCTGAACTTCACAGATAAGAAAAGTAAGCCAAGGAGATGTTGAGTAACTTGCCACAAATCACATAGCTAGAAGTAGAGGAGCTGGGATTTTAACCACAGAAATCAGGACCTACAATCCTTTTATTTATTTATTGTGGTGGTAATGGTGGTATCGGGGATTGAACACAGGGCCTTTACACTGAGTTATATCCGCAGCCCTTTCCCTTTTTACTTTGAGACAGCATCACACTAAATTGCCTGAACTGGGCTGTAACTGGCCAGCCCTCCTGCCCCAGCCCCAGGGAGTGCTGGGATTACAGATGTATGTTATGTCACTGGGCTAGAATAATCTCTTAGCAACTGTGTGTTGATGGCCATGATGGCAGAATGTAAGTCTGAGAGAGAGCATTCATTGAGAGCATGCTCTGTGTCAGCCATTGTGGTGAATACTGTATATCTCTAGTACCTTTTCATCTTCACCTCATGCCCAGGTGATAGATCTTTTGGTGTCTTCTCCTTTTGGGGGAAGAGGAACCTGAGATTAGGGAGCTTGGCCTTGTCCGAGGTTGCACGGCTTATAGATGTCTTTGTACCCTGGTGCTCTTCCTCCAGGCCTTGTACTTATGACTTCCCAACACTTTTCTTTGCACAGGAGGGGCTACGCAGGGATGAGCACAGTGATCCGAAAACACAAGGTTTGGTGAGAGGCAAAGATGGAGCTGGGCTCGAGCTTTGGTGGAATTTGAATAAGCAAAAGGGACAACATATGATTTGTTTTATTTGGTACCCAAAGGTATATTTTCTTTTGGAGTTTTGTTTTGTTTTGTTTTTACTTTGTTGGTCTTAGTTTACTTCTGCTGTTTTAAACAAATCTAGAGATTTCACCTAAAAATTCGTATTTCTAGCTTCTAAAAGTGCAAAAGCTATGTCAACACTTGGCCACACTGAGGAATGGTAGCATCCAATCATAAGGGCCTCCTAGTGTCCCTGCCCATTTGGCCAGCTATTCCCAGGCCTGTTTTGTCCTATTCCTCAGGTCTCACACCCACTTCGAGCCTGGACGTGGAGGCAGAGATTCCCATCTCTAAGAAGGTGGAGAGAACACAAGGAAGGGCCTCAGCATAGGTTTTGAGCAGGAAAGTCCATTGCAATAACTCTTCTAGCAAGCTATGGTCCTGTAGCATAATCTGTATGCCTGCCTATCTATCTGCGGTACTAGGAATTAAACCCAGGCCCCTTGCACTGAGCTACATCCCTGGATGTTTTTATTTTTTATTTTGAGACAGGGTCCTCAATAAGTTGCTAAGTTGCCCAGCTGGGGTCAAACTTGCAATACTCCTGCTCCAGCCTCCCAGAGCACACTGGGATTATAGGCTTGTGCCACCACACCCGGCTGGTACAGCATTTTTAAAGCTGGGTTAAGGAAGAGAGATTACAGAAAGAAAAAAACACATGGAGAAAAGGACTGACAAGACATTGTGATGACCCAGGAGGGAAGCAATAACAGCCTTAGGCCAAGAAAGAGTACCCCACCCCCACCCCACCCTGCCATTGCTCAGGAAGAAACCTTTAGCACCTATTCTGGCTTGCACAATGAAGTCTTCTCAGGAACAGTACACAGAGTGCAGAAAGGTGATGTTTAGGCTAGTGGTGATATGATAAAGAGTCTTCACTGCTTCACAGCTGGGAGATTAAATAGGAGAGTGTGGGAAACTAGAGAAATGTCACACGTTTGCCATAATGGCCTCCGGCCATGAGCGTCTCTTTTCTTTCCTTCCATATTCTGGATATGTCCATCTGCTCATTGTCAATTCCCATTCACTTAATGAAACAGGGCATGTGAAAGCCCTCTGGATGGTGTGAGCATATAGCAGGTGCTCAATAAATGAATCTGAGTCTGAATGGAGAGCCACATTTCAGCAGTCTGTATTTCTGTCAGGTCTGTGCATTGAACTTCAGCTGTAAGGGATTCAGTACTTTGAGTGTATTACTGCAGCTATGAAGAAGGAGCCCCATAATGAGGAGGAGCTGCTTCCACGGGGATCTGTTGTCTTCCAAGGACTTCATTCAAGCATCCTCGTTCTGTTTCTGAGCAAACCAGCTAGTGAGGTGTGACTACTGACTGGCACTTCTCTTCCGTTTGAGATGAAGGAAACGCCACAGAGAACTGGATTCTCTTGCTCAACACCATGCAGCTTACCCCATGCAGCACCTGACTCTAATCCAGTTTGCTGTGAGTTTGTTCCTATCCAAAATTTACTGTTTTTAAATTTTAATTATTTTTTATTTTTTATTTTGGTAGGGGATCGAACTTGGGACCTTGTGCTTTCATAGCAGGCAGCAGCATCACTGAGCTAAATCCCCAGCCCTATTTTGTTTTGTTACGTCTTTTTTGAGACAAGGTGTTGCTATGCAGTTAAGGCTGGCTCAGATCTCAATATTATATCCCCGGCTGGCCTTGAACTCATGATCCTCCTGTCTTGGTGCTGGGATTACAGGCATGTAGCACCACTTCCTGCACTCTTTTTTTTTGGTACTGGGGATCGAACTCGGGTTCTTGCTCTTGGGCAGCAGGTGGCAAAACCACTGAGCTAAATCCCAGGCCCATCCTGCACTTTTTGATTTGCTGATCTCTTGCTAAACCTCCTGAGTGCTGGGAGTGAGTGTATGTCAGTGATATAGGGGAACAATGTAACTGCAAACCTGCTAGATGTCAGATACTTTGAGTACATGTTCCCCAAAATGAAGAATGAATTTTAAGGAACAGAGGTTAAGAGTAGGGAAATTTGGGGCCGGGGATTTAGCTCAGTGGTTCCACTGCTTGCCTTGCAAGTGCAAGGTCTCGAGTTCAATCCCCAGTACCAAAAAAAAAAAAAAAAAAGAGTGGGGAAAGTCAAAGCTTTTGTACATAAGGGGGGAGGGGAATGGGGGAAAAAAAGCAAGATATATCATCTACTGGTACAAATTCCCTATGATGAATGCTATCATTATGTATATCTAAAATGTACCAATAAATATTTTGTTAAAAAAAAAAGAGGAAAATTGGGGAATAGCAATAGCTCCTGAGAAACAGGAGAGGTCCAGAGTCAGTTGCCAACGAGTCCACTTCTCTGAGAAAGCTTGATAGAGCAAAATCATGAGGTGGGTACAACATGGGTCAAAACTAATCAACCAGGGGCTGGAGATTTAGCTCAGTGGCTCCGGCGCCTGCCTGGAAACCACAAGGTCCCACAAGGTCCCGAGTTCGATCCCCAGTACCAAAACAAAAACAAAACAAAACTACAATCGACCAATAAGATTACAAGCATAGGAGCTTGGCTAATATTGATCCAATAGTACCAAGGGCATATAGATGACATCATTAACCTTGGTCGATAATCTATAGTTTTAGTTTGTTTTGTTGTTTTTTTTTAGTACTAGGGATCAAACTCCAGACTCTGTGCTTGCAAGGCAGGTGGCTATGCCTCTGAGCTAAATCCCCAGCCCCTGTTTTATTTTATTTTATTTTTTGAGACAAGGTCTTATGTTGTAGTCCAGCCCTGAACTTACTAGGTAGCCCAGGCTGGCCTCAAACTCTGAGATCCTCCTGCCTCAGCCTCTGGAGTGCTCGTATTATAGGTGTGGGCCACCGAGGCCAGCTGACTGCCTGTTTATTTCTACCTAATTTAGCTGTCTATACTACCATTACACCTGTTTTGTTTTTTTTTAATTTTCAGGGTCCAGGGGATTGAACCCAGGTTCTCTCACTTGCTAAGCACTGGCTCTATCATTCACCTACACCCCCGGTCTGGCTTCACAAATTTATATAAATTCCTTTTGAGATATGTTACTAGAATGCCCTTGACATTATGGCCAATATACAGGTAAGTATTTGAAACAAGTGCCATATTCAATCAGTAAGTACATTGATTAGGTAATCGAGTACAAACGGAATGTAGGTCAGAATTATACAATTTCTTTTCCTTTTTTTTAGTTTTTCTTATTTTTCTGATATAATTTCATATATTAAAATCAGGAAAAGGTCACTGAAGTGGTAAAATTAATTCCATCTGTATAAAATGGGCATGAAGCCTAGCATGGTGGTACATATCTATAATTGCAGTATTCTGGGAGGCTGAGGCAGAAGGATTGCAAGTTCAGGCCTAGTCTGATCAATTTAGCAACTTAGCAAGACTGTGTCTCCAAAAACCAAAAAAAGAGGATATTTTATATATGTATATTATATATATATATACATATATGAAGAGATAGAGAAAGAGAAAGGGAGGGAGACTTTTTCGTGTATATATTTTTTTGGTGTGTATACGTTTTGGGGTTTTATTTGTGAAACATGTCTAGCAATTTAATATTAACATGTATATTATAATGAACTAAAACTGTTCAAGTGGGTAACAGGAAACAGACATCAAGGAAAGCCAACATAAACAGCCATTGACAAGCTAAGGCCTGCAGCAATTTTGGGATTTTTGTTGTTGTTGTTGTTGTTGTTTTGAGATAGGGTCTCACTGTGTAATTCAGGTTGGCCTTGAACTCACTATGTAGCCCAAGTGGGCCTCAAACTTGCAGTGCTCCTCCTGCCTCAGCCTCCCAAGTGCTGGGATTACAGGTGTATGCCACTATGGCTGGCCTGTGTGGTGAGACATGGTCTTACTACGTCAACCAATCTGGCCTTGAACTTCCTATCTTCTTGCCTCTGCCTGCAGACTGCTGGGATAGTAGGTGTGCACCACTCTGCCCACCTGAGTTGAGGTTCAATCACCAGTACACCAAAACAAAGAAAGAAGGAAACAAACCAAAACCAAAACCAATAACAATCCAAAAAAACCCCATCAAAAAACCAAACTTTGGGCCAGGGATTTAGCTCAGTGGTTCTGTCCCCTGACTCGAAAGCACAAGGACCTGAGTTTGATCCCCAGTACCAAAAAAAAAAAAAAAAAAAAAACAACAAAAAACCCCACCAAACTTTATATTAAGTTTAGGAATACTTAGTATATATTTGTTTTGTTTTTTTAGTTTTTTCAAACAGGGTCTCACTCTGCAGTTTAGGCTGACTTTCTTTTTTTTTTTTTGGCTGGCCTTTAATTTACTATGGTAGCCCAGGTTGGCCTCAAACTTGCAGCAATCCTCTTGACTCAGCCTCATCCTCCTGCCTCAGACTGCTGAGGGTTGGGATTACAGGTATGTGCCACCACACCCAACTTTGACATTAGAGACCTTAACTAAAAATATGCAACTGAGTGACTTGAGATTCATGATTTTAAATGGAAAGGTATATTATATTAAAATATTTTGAGTGTTTTCTGATTTGTGATGCTAGTGCTTTGTGCATGTTTGCTAAGTACTCTGCCTTTATACATATAAGCATTCTGCCATTATGCTTCATATAAGTCAGTGTTTTGGTTATTTGAGATAGGGTCACTATGTAGCTCCTGACAGCCTCAAACTCATTACGTAACCCTGGCTCGTCTCTAACATTTTTGTTGTTGTTGTTGTTGTTTTTAGTACCAGGGATCGAACTCAGGACCTTGTGTTTGTGAGGCAGGCAGGGTGCCAATGAACTAAATCCCCGGCCCTGTTTATGTTCTTTTGAAACATGGTCTCTTTATGTAGTTGAATATGCAGTCCAGGCTGGCAATCCTCCTGTCTCAGCCTCCTGAGTACTCGAATTACAGGCCACCATATCTGGCTATAAATTAGTTTTAAGGAAAATAGGAAGTAAAATACGCTTCCTTCAACTGTTATCCCAGCTTTTCAGGAGGCTGACGCAGAAGGACAAAGTTCCAATCTGGGCTGGGTAACTTAGTGAGTGATTTAGGGAGACTCTGCCTCAACATAAAAAATAAAAGCTAGGAGGGCCGGGGCTTTAGCTGTGGTTCCGCTGCCTACCTCGAAAGCACAAGGTTCCAAGTTCGATCTCTGGTACCAAAAAAATAAATAAATAAAGGCTAGACAGGTAGCTGAGTGCAAAGGGCCTAGGTTCAATCTCCAGTACTGGAAATATAAATAAATTTTCTTGTATAAATTAAAAATTAATTTTATTTATTTATTTAGGTACGGGGATTGAACTCAGGACCTTGAGTTTTTGAGGCAGGTGGTGGCACCACTGAGCTCCCTGCCCTAAAAATTAATTTTAAACATGGAAGTATCAGAGCTGAACATGGTTGTGTAGATCTGTAATCCAAGCACCTGGGAGGCTGAAGCAAGAGTATTGCCTGGAGTTTGAGGCCAGCCTGGATTGTGTAGTGAGTTCAGGGGTATCTGTGGAATACATAGCAAGACTCTGTCTCAAAAAACAAGACAAAAATGGGGCCAGGGATTTAGCTCAGTGGTTCTGGTGCCTGCCTTGAAAGTGCAAGGTCCTGAGTTCAATCCCTGTTACCAAAAAAAAAAAAAAAGACAAAAAAAAGAAATGTCGGGGCCGGGGATTTAGCTCAGTGGTTTCACTGCAAGGATCGAGTTCGATTCCCAGTACAAAAAAAAAAAAAAAGAAATGTCCAAGAATGTAGCTTAGTGGTAGAGGGTATACCTAGGATGAGGTACTGGGTTCAATTCCCAGCACTGAGGTGGGGAAGGAAATAATAGTATGAAATATCTGTCAACCTTTTAAGGTAAATCCCGAAAATGTGTGGAAAGTTAAGACAAAGCTTCCTTTTTTTGTTGTTGTTTTGAGATAAGATCTTGCTATGTAGGCTAGGCAAGCCCGGAACTTGTTACATAGGCCAAGCTGGCCTCAAACTTAAGATCCTTTTTGTTTGGTTTTTGCTGGCCTTGAACTCACCCATCCTCCTGCTTCCTGCTTTAGCCTCCCAAATGCTGGGATTACAGGCATGCGTCACTACACCAGGCTAAAATCCTCTTGCTTTCAACCTCCTGAACCTGAGATTATCTGGATTAGAGAGTTTCCTTCTTTTTTTTTTTTGGTAGGGGGGATCTAACTGGGGACCTTGCACTTTTGAGGCAGGCGGTGGAAGCACCGAGCTAAATCCCGGGCCCTTAGGGAGATTCTTAACATCTACATTTCTTCGAAGTAATTGTTTTAATAATACCGTAATTTTTTTTTTTTTTTTTTGCAGCGCTGAGAACTGACCCCAGAGCCTCAGGCAGACAATAGAAGGAAATGGAAGATTGGCTCTGAAAGGTTAATTTACTTCTCTAAAGTCACAGTGTTGGAGCGGCTATACCAAGGTCTCATTTCTAATCCTTTCTATGCTCCATCATTAAACTGCTGACAGATTTCCTAGGACTTTTGTTTGAAGACAGTAATATTCTTTCAAACATTTTTATATGGGAGGAAAATAACCCTACAATCAATGACCTCTGTGCTTCCCTCTGTCACAATATTAACCAAAAAACAAGTGACAAACTAATAATTGGATTGTCAGGGTTTTTGTCTTCAAGGGTTAGGAGACAAATTTAGAGGAAAGGGGGGTATTTTTTTTTTTTTTTTACTACCGGGGATCAACTCGGGACCTTGCGCTTGCGAGGGAGGCGGCAGAACCGCTGAGCTAAATCCCCGGCCCATAAGGGGGGTATTTTTGAGGAAACAATACCAACCTAGACACGAGGCCAGGCTAAATTCAGGGGGTACCAAGCTAACCTATTGCCGAGAGAAGCAGAGTTTTATTTTTTCTTCACCTCTGTGCTTTTCTTCACTGTTTCCAAGGATTTTTCGAAGCTCGACAGTCAAGCGCTCACCGAGCCCACTGACACTAAATGGCAGGGTAATACTTTTTAATCTGTCCCCCAACCCTTGACTCCTATACGGCCTCTTCTTGCTTTGTCTCTTACATGCTTTTCCCTTTGTCTTCACCCTCGACGAATAATCTGAAAATGACCGTTTTATCCTCCCGCCACAGGGACTACATTGCCTTATGGCGACCTTGACAGCCACCTGGGTGGGAAGCCGGAAAGAGGGGCGGGCGGCTGTGAGGGGGATCTCTTCCGATGGCTGCGAGGAGGCGCCTCGAGCACAAGAGCGTAGAGCTCCACTCAGCTAGGAGCTCTCTGAAAGATTGACAGATACTCCACCAACTGTCTTTGCCCTGGAAAGGGGAGGGTTCTCGCGAGATTTGGACTTAACTGGAAGGCGCCTCTCCAAATGGGGGATGGGAACATCTATGGCGCAATCCTTGCGCGAGATTGGGCCACGGTCGCTGAGGCCATAGCTAGATCTCGCGATATTTGGAGGTGTTCGGGCTAGAACTCGGGGCAGTTTATCGCGAGAGTCCGTGCTGAGGGCTCTGGGAGACCCCGTGTGTTTGTGTGTGTATGTGTGTTGGTGAATGTGAGTACGAGGAAGCAGCCGCCGCCATTTCAGGGAGATTGCTGACGCCGTCGCAGGGGAGGATCCTCAGCTGCCGAAGCCTCCATCCTGCTCTTCCGCGCGGACTCCTCTAATTCCATTGTTTCTTTTAGATTTGCTCGGGCTTATCCGCTCTGGGAGCCCGATAATCGGGCTGGGCGGTACCGCGGCCTGGGCCTAGGGCTTAACATTAGCAAGAGCGGCGGCCGACTTTCCGAATACGAGCACTACAGGCGTCCGAAAGCCCGCACAGGTAAGGCGCCGTCGCAGTCCTGCGTATGGTAGCGTTTTTTACAAGGATAGATGTTCCTCAGTCCTGAGGAATGCTGTTGTTTTTAGCGGCGTGGGTGTGTGGTAGTTATTGAGAAGTCGGCCTTATTTTGACGGCCACGTTCTTTTCCTGGTGGTAGGAGTGGGGTATCTTGGGGTGGCAAAGATCCTAGGGAGTCCTCGGCACATAACGACCTGTCGCTTAGAGGCCTACGCCGACCGCGGCTTTCCAACATGGCGCCAGCCGAGAGCTGCTTGGCACACAACCCCTCCCAACGCGAGGGAGTTTTCCTTTGCCCCTAAAATGGCAGCACGGGTTTTGTGCGGAAAGAGACGCTCTGGCCCGAGGCTCTACGGTTCTGGTTTTGTGGTTCATTGTAGACTTTTAAAA